CCCCCAAAACCCCAAAACCCCAAAACCCCTTCAGAGCCTGTAGTTATTGAAAGTATTTTTCCTACCATTAAACTGTTATTTCAATACTGAAAAAGGGGATGTCTTTGTCTTTGTAGTACGAGATTCGTAGATCCTGTGAGTTGGCTTCGATAGTGACAAGACCGTGTCCATCAATGCTTTGGAAATATACTTCTCCATCCTGGTCGTGGTATGGACATATTTTGTCGAGTTCTGTTCCGCTTGTGCCAACCAGGATCTGATGGAACATCTCTCCTTTCTTAAAATAGTGCTCAATGTTTGCTGTGTTGTAGATCTCAATGTCGGCTCCACAGTCGTCGAGCACAGGCCCTTTGGCCTCGTTTGGGTATCTGAGCGACTCATCGTAGCCGAAGTTGGAATATTCATATATGTGAGTGTGTCCTACTAATGCAAAGTCGACTTTATATTTCTGCAGAAGTGGCAGCAAGTCGTTTTTCAAGGGCACCTCTTTGAGAACCGGGTGATGCATGGCCACTCCGACCCAGACAGCATTGGGATCGGTAGAATATGTCTGAAGTTTGTGTTCGAGCCAGAAGTAATGCTCTTTGACTCTCTGGCTTCCCACTTCGGTATTCATTTTGTTGCATGTTTTGTGAGCCTTTTGGTCTGCTTCATTGATGCTCCAACACATGAGCAAACACGAGTTCGACATCAGAATCACCACATACTTCGAAGGATCGTCTTTGAGAGGCTCCTTGAGCTCGTAGTAATCAGACTCCATGCGCCACTGCGATTTGAATTCGCTAAACTTGACTTCATTGGTGTAGTCACTGTAGCAGTCATGGTTGCCCAAAGTTGGATATATTTTGATATCCTTGATATCTGGTTTTTGGAAGTAACTCATGACTTTGTTAGCATTCTGCAAGTCATCCATTGTTTCAATTCCTTTAGGGTAGAAGTTGTCACCTACAGTTGTGACGAAATGGAAGGGTTTCTCAGAAGCAAGTTCACTCATGATGTTCGTCATATTGTCGACTCCCGACAAGTTATCTAAGTCTCCAAAATCTCCAACCACAAAGAATCTTGTGAAATCATCGTCTGCATATAAGTTACTCCTTTGCATTTGGTCTGAAATCAAGTTAACCATTTCAGGAGTGAAGGTTTGTGAGACGACATCAGCACTTACGAGAACTAAAATTATTGCCAAAATTATGTATAATGAAGCTCACTTTATTACCATTTTAAATTGTAATTTGGTATAAATGTTCTACCGATACTAATTTTTATGGGGTTTTGGGGTTTTGGGGTTTTGGGGTTTTGGGG